CAAATAAATAAATAAAATCTTTAAAAAATAATAAATAAAAATAAAAAGGATACATACATACGTTAATAAATACATGTCAAAAAACTCTAAAAGGGCACGTAGTTCATTGCTCGTGGTGATTGTTCTAAAGGAGGAGACTAAGGGGATGGAGTAGGAGGGAAACTCTTGCGATCATATGCTTTTATGTTATTTTAGGTTTTAACTAGGTATGTGCACGATACCCATTTTTTAAAAACTGAAGTTGAAACGTGACATCACCGACCTATCAACAGGTATTTATGCGCTGACAATGTACCTACCTACCATTGTGCATGACACAGGGCCTAACACCCGGTCCTGCTCTCCAGGAGTTCACATGCTGGCTGAATTTATAATCTAGATTCAGATTAGACAATCATCTAATTGTTTTGGACATTCACATTAGAAAACAGAACCAGACATTCTCTCAAAGTATTTTTCCACTGTGACTCTGGGAGAACAAATCACCACCTAAAAAGAATAAATTCTATGTCTAATCCGTTAGTCCTAACCAGTGCTGCTTAAGCTTAAGAAATTGTTACTTCATGGGAAGTGGTCAGTGTTTAAGAAGGAAAGCAAAGCAGGAGGAATCTTTACAAACAACCCAATTACATACATTATTATACACTCCAAGAAAAAAGATGAACAAATATCATCTCTGCGTAGTTGGATTTGTCTTCTTCATTACACTTCCATATATTTTCCTAATTCTCTACACTAAGGAACATGTATCAATGGCACAAAAAGAAAAAAATACACATCCTCCTCCCCTCAAAAAATACTTTTTGGTGCCAACACAACATCCATGAGGATTACTGGTTCATTCCAAATCTTCCTCTTGCTTTACAAAAGTGACAGCAATCCAAAATATGACTTTCCATAGGCTGAATTGGTGGCAAAACCAACAAGAATCATCCAAGTCCAAGTGTTCCATTTATAAAATATTTAGTCCACAGTCACCCAATTAGAGCATAACCATAATGAAGACATTATTGCTAACAAGGGAGGCAGACTGGGATCTGGGTCACTCTTCCATAACTCCATTAGTCCCTCTCAGCCAATAAAGAAGTCTGTGTTAGCAAAGTATTTAGCTGACAATGGAATCATGATGTAATGCATTTCTATAACCTTACCAAGGAGGAAAAAGACAGAGCTGAAAAATTCTTAGTGGGCAACTGGAGTGTCAAACAGCAACTTACAAAGGTTCTCCCCCAACCTGGAGACTTGAGGAGTCATCACTGCTGCAAAGTACCCAGTCAATTTACCACAGACACTGACAGAAACAAGGAGCTGGTACTGGACACTATGTGCCAGGCCCTGTGATAAGGGCCCTTCCATTTCCATTCCTTACTCTCTCTCAGAATCTTCTCAATTACTACTGGGAAGTACAAGCGAGACTGAGGCACAAAGCTCAAATCACTCTCCACGGTTACACGGTGAGTGGAGAAGCAAGCACGGAACTCAAACAGTCTTCACTCAAAAGCATGGACATTATACTACTTTCCCTGGAAAGTATAAACGTTATACCACCCCTTCCGTAGTCACCCCCAACTGTCACACGCCACAATCTCCCCAGCTTGCTCCCATCACACTCTACCCTTGCCCCAACTCAGAATCCAATCAAATATTCTCCAGTCCTTCTGTAATGGCAGGTGCCCTCACTGGCTTTTCCTATCAGCCTGTACAGGAAAAGAGGCCATCTGGCAGAATACTCTCCTTATCAAAAGCCACTTTTTAAAGACCACCCCTCTCTCTAAATTGAGCTAGCAGGTTTATGACTTGCTGCCTGGCACTCCTAGAGGACCCACGGTGTCTCCTACCCTGCACACACAGCCCCTCATCAGTCCCATTTATCAACTTGCCAAGCGCTCTCACTCAGAAAGCTGATCTAAGTCGGATCTCCCTCACAATAACCCCAGTAACACGATAACAACAACAGCTACCATGTTCTGAGCATTTGTTATGCAACAGGCTTTACACACATGGTACCATTTCATCCTCACAACCACCCGAAGAAGTAGGCACTGTCTCCAATTTATAGATGACAAAACTAAGGCTCAGAGAGATAAAGTAATTCAGCCCGAGGTCACACAACCAGTTAAGTGACGAAATCTGACTCCACCCAACTTAAGCTTTCAGGGGTCTTGCCCTTTAACGATCAAATGTGAGCTCTTCTTGGACTTTTCCTTTTGAGAGCTATCTTCCAACAACAAGTCTGCTGCACGACCACAGGACTCGCACTTCACCCACAGGCTCACCTGAATTTCTTCATTTTCATCTACTAGGAGGAAACTCACGACCTTCTCAGTCATCTTCTTCCTCCTGGTCTCCTCATCCAGCTCTTCTTCCTCCAGTAGTCCCTGGACCTTAGTGACATGGTACACAGTAACAGGGTGTCTCCTTTTGTTACCCCCGGAATGAGTCCTCTTCTGGCACTCCAAGCACAAGTTGATTTTACAGGTCTGGCACCTCACGGCTGCCCTCTGCCTAATACCCGGCGAATGCCCATTGGTGCCCTTGCAGGGGTCGCAGTAAGGGACGTGGCCAGGTTTGAGCCTTATCCGCTCATGGTTTCTCAGGCGCTCCTGCCGATGGAGCTCCTCCTCGCAGCGGAGACACTGCAGACTGCAGCACTCATCACACTCAAAGACCGCTTCGTCAGTCCCGCTGCAGGCGTAACTTTCCTGGCACATCAGCCCCGGATTCAGGCCCTTCTCTGCTGGGGACGTCTGAGCACTCATACTCAGATTGGCAAGGAAATCACCCACCATAGACCGGTCCCTGGGCTTTCCCCAGGAGTGAAGACAAAGGCTTTTGAGTCTGAGGACTGCAGAACTTTCACTGGATTCTGAACACCTTAAAAAAAAACAAAAACAAAACAAACCTTCGGTGTCCTATCAGAATTCTTCACACTCACGAATGTTGGAATTTTTAATTTTCTGCCTCCAAGATTCCTGTGTCAGCAGCAACGTTGATTTGGTTTGATGGTTTTATCCTCCATAAAGTGCAAGCAAAGTTGTGGTCAAAGTTAACTTGAAAGGGTCTCTTATGGCTATATGAGAGAGATCTGATAGGTTCACTGAGGTGGGCTCATCAGCTGGGCCTCAGCCACAAGGGTTTGGTAGTGAAAGAGAGTGGTCAGAAGCTCTGCAATATAATCCAACCTCAAGTCAATATTTCAGGGGATACCTACAATAGAGGAAGGAAAAGGATTTCACTAATTTAAAAACAGAAGTCACCTAAAAAAAAAAAAAAAAAAAAAGATTGTGGTTAAATATGAGGCCAGAACTCCTGAGAGAAATCTCATCCTTACTATAAAACTTACACAGGCTACTTCTGATCCTAGAAATTTCTTCTCAAAATCATGGGCAAGGCTCCTCCCTTTGAAAACAGCCACTATCTCTAGGCCCAAGGCATTTCAGAGACTTTGTCTCTTCATTTCACAGACTGAAATTCTCTGTTCATCCAGTTATTATAATAATTCAGAATCAAAATCATTAAGCAAACAGTCCTTGGAGGGACAACCCTCTGCACTCCCCTAACCTGCAGCACACACTTATGAGGTGAATAAAGAGACCTGTAAAAATCTAAAGAAATGATAATAATGTAGACTTTAGCTCCATCAAAGCCTTTGGCAGATCTAGTTAGATTGTTTCAACTCTAGACAAATGTCTATGAAGGACCTTAAGCCTGGAAACAAAAGTCACCATGTCATGTTTAAAAACAATAAAGAACAATTATTGTACTTCCTTTTGTCCCTTCTCTAATTGCAAAAAAAGGGAGCAACAGGAGACAGAATTCCTCCTCTAAGGCCCACTGCAAAGCCAGGCCTGCAGTGAGTTATAACAAATAATTTTTCTCTCTGTCACTCAAAAACTAACTTAAAAATAACTTCAAAAAGAAGAAAGGGAAAAAAAGATAACTGGGGCAGGAAAGAGGCTTTTGTCACTTCTACAATTACATTCTTAACCCCTCTTAGCCTTGACCTCCATTCTAATACCCCAACGAAATGTAAAGTCCTCCCTCTAGTAATCAATCAATCAATCTTATTTTTAGACAAACAAGGAAGGCAAGGGAGTGACTAGGAGACCTTATTTACACCCTAACCTCAGCCATGCCCAAGCAGCTCCCACAACGGGAACAAAAATCGAAATTCGCCACAATTTAGAAAAATATAAAATCAACCTTCAAAAGAACACCTCACCGCCCGACCGGCCAAGGAAACAATCTGCCCACTCGGGCCCCCACCTCGACACCTCTCTCCAGCCGGGGGTTCCTCACCCTTCCTTTCTCCCGGGCAACACCACCACAACCCGAGGGGCACGAGCAGAGTCTAAACAAAGAAGGTCCCCCAAAATCCGCCCCCACGCTAGCAGAGGCTAGAGCCGAATCCATTGTTTATACCACCCCACCCCCACCCCAGCCAGGGTGCCCCCCACCCTTCTCTTCAGAGAAGTGGGGCGGGGGGGTGATGCTCACATTTGTGTTGAGCCAGAAACTGGCGGGGGCAGCCGGAGCTCCAGGACTATAGCTCGCCCGGCGCTGGGCCGTGCCCTTCCCTCCCCGCCCGCGGCGGCCCGGGGATCCCACCACGGAGCAGCTCGGCCGCGGTAAGGCGGCGTCGGGGGACCGCAGGGCGCCTGCGGGGGCGGGGGCTGTTCCTCAGGGCACCGGTGGATCCATCCTCATCTCCATCTCGCCCCCCCCCTCCTCCTTCTCTGCCTCCCGGGCTTCCTCCTCTCCTGTTGTCAGTTGGGATCAGCTGATCGGAGTGAACTTCTCCCAGCTCAGACTACCAGGAAGGCGTGAGCAGTGCAGTCCAGGGAGAGAGGAGCGGGAGGGGGTGGAGTCCTACGCCGGCGAGGGCGGAGAAGGGCGCGCACAGCTTCCTGGGAAATGTAGTTCCCAGGACGTGCGTCCTTCCCCACATCCCGGAAATCAAGGCTCTAAATGACTACAACTCCCAGGACGAAAAAGGCTGCTCTTGTGAGGAGGCGGTGAAGACTGGCCGTCGAGCGTTTCGGGACTTGGAGTTTTTGCATTTACTGCGGTGTTCGAAGATTTCAGCGGGTTGTTTTGGGTAGTGCCCGGAGAGGGAATGGCGCTAAGTTAGATGACTGATGTAATGTGTAGTATAGTTGAGGCAAATAACTCTATTTCACGAACACATATTGCACACGATTCCTTCAGAAATGTGTAAAAACAGGCAATCTCCTCTTCCCTGATTTCACCTTGCCCAAGTTAGGAAAAGACCAGAAAGAAATGATAAAAGAATTTACTCTTCTTGGAGTTTTGTTTTCCCTTTATGGGTGTTCTCCAAGCTGAATTTTTTTACCTTACCTTTTACTTTTCGACCTTCTCTACATAGTTTTAGAACTTCTGAATTTTATCTTTAAGTTAGACGGGGTTCATTTTCAGACAAGCTTGCGGGCTACGGTGCAGGCTAATGGTTAACATTGTTATCTGGCTTTTCTTAAAAAGCCATATATTTGTTTAGTGCTTTCACTTTCCGGGGATTTTTGTTTATTTCTTGGAATGACACTGAAAGAAAGCCTGATGTAATAAAAAGAGCCCTGGTCTGAGATGCGGGAGACTGAGCGCTTGTTCTAGAAAGCTGGGTAAATCGCTCAACCCCTCCATGAAATAAAGGAATTGTACTTTATAATTCTGAAGTCTCTGCCAATTCTAACGTTCTATGATTCTATCTTGACAATTGTTAACCCAGTAGAGAAAACTAAGTTTAAGGGACTTGCCAAGTCACACAGCAAATTATTGACAAAGCTGGGACAAGAATCCATCTCCTGACTTAGTCACATACTCTTTTATGTTTCATAGGACATAATTAGACCAATAGTAAAACCAAATCTGAGTAATAATGAGTGAGCCACATATAAGGGTTATATTGCTGAAAATTATGTTTTCAAGACTGGGCAGATAGCCAACAGTTGGGCTAACTGCACAAATGACTGAGAATTTTTTTTCCTATGCTTATCACAAACCAGGATATTAAAAACTAAGCTGTCTATAGCACCTTAAAACTTCAAAGTTTCAAAGTAGGAAAAGGAAAAGAGATTTTCTTTTCTTTTCTTTTAAGATTTTATTTATTTATTTGAGAGAGAGGGAGAGAGCGCGCCCACAGCTGGGGAGAGAGACGGTGGGAAAGGGAGAAGGAGAAGCAGACTTCCCGCTGGCGCGGGGCTCCATGGGAGAACCCTGGGATCGTGATCTGAGCTAAAGGCAGACGCTTAACTGAGCCACCCAGTTGCCCCATTATTTTTTTTTTTTTAAGAGGGATTTTAGGGGCGTCTAGCTGGCTCAGTCAGCAGAGGGTGTAACTCTTGATATCAGGGCTGTGAGTTTGGGCCCCATGTTGGGTGTGGAGGTTACTTTAAGGGGGGGGAGGGATTTTTAATAAGTTCAGAGAATAGGTCTTGAGCCAGGGTCTTTTTTTGGTTTTTTTTTAAGATTTTATTTATTTAGGGGCGCCTGGGTGGCTCAGTCGTTAAGCGTCTGCCTTCGGCTCAGGTCATGATACCAGGGTCCTGGGATCGAGCCCC